AAGTGGCTATGGCCTAGAAGAAAAGAATGTGAGAGGTGACAATTTAATAGTATGGGCTGAGTAGCACAGCATGATAATAGGTAACACCTGGTTTAAACACAATCCTCGAAGATTGTGGACTTGGAAAAGTCCTGGCGATAATGTCCGCAATCAGATTGATTATATTTTGATTTCAAGAAGATTCCGGAGCAGCTAAGTTGGAGCAAAAACTAGACCAGGAGCAGACTGCATTAGTGACCATGTTCCAGTTGTAGGAAAAATTAGAATAAAACTAAAAAACATTAGAAAAACACCACAGAACATTAAGTTAAATTTAGGAATTCTTAGAGCGGATAAAGAAATTAATAAACAGTACAATGTCACTGTACAAAACCGGTATAATGCAATAGAAATTATACAGACTATTAATGAACAAAGTGATATGTTGCGTGAGTCAATTTCGCAGACATCAAATGAAACAATCCCACCAACACATAGAGTTGCAAAAAAAAAAAAAAAAATGGATGTCAACCGAAATTCTGCAGTTAATGGATGAAAGAAGGAAGAAAAAGAATGATAACGAAGAATATTCTAGAATACAAAAAGAAATAGTGAACAAATGCAAAGTAGCTAAAGAAATCTGGCTGAATTAAATGTGTACAGAGCTTGGGGAAAATCACAGGAAGACTTACATTCCATGTACCAACAGATAATTATGTTAACCAACCCCAACAGCCCCTGGTTGCTGTGTGATTTCTTTAGGCAAATTCCCGTCCATTAGTTTGCCATTGCTTACTTGACGGTCGGTCCCCTGATACCACTGTCAAAAGCAACGCAAGGCGCATAGCCCGCAGCTGGGATCAAACCCGGCACCTCGGCATTACGAAGCGTTCGCATTGACTTAGACACAGAGCCGACAAATGGGACATAGTAATATAGTTAACAGATGGACAGAGTATATAGGGGAATTGTATGAGGATAATAGACTAGAAGTAGAACTGCAGACCAACAATGATGGTCCACCAATAATGACTGCAGAAGTTGAGGATGCAATACATCATATGAAGAAAGGAAAAGCACCCAGGCCAGACAACATCTTACTGGAAGAAATCGAAGCACTGAGAGATTTTGGAATTGAAATAATAACTAAACTTTTAAATGATATTTATAATAGTGGGTATTTTCCAAATGACCTTTCATAATCCATTTGTATAGCTCTGCCAAAGAAACCAGACACTTTAAAATGTGAAGACCATCTCACAATAAGTTTTATGAGTCACATGACTAAGATTTTACTGAGAATAATTATGAGAAGAATAAGAAACAAAATTAAACCAGAAATCAGCGATGAACAATGTAGATTTGTAGAAGGAAAAAGAACAAACAACGCCATATACATCATAAGGACATAGCCATAAAGAGCTTTAGAAGTAAAGACTTTTTTGTACTTATGCTTCATAGACTATACAAAAGTATTTGACTGTGTGAAAAGTGAAGAAGTAATCAAACTGTTAAAAAAATAAACATTGATGGAAAAGATCTACGAATAATAAAGAACATGTATTGGCAGCAAACAGCAGCAATAAGAATTAACAACTGTTTAGGTACATTTAAGAGCGTAAAGAGGGTTGTACGACATGGATATGTACTGTCACCTGATTTATTTTCACTATACAGTGAATATATAATGAGAATTTAATTTATATGACCGGAATTGTGGTTCATGGGCACAATATAAACAATTTGCGTTATGCTGGTGACATAGTCTTGATAGCAACAAGTCAGAAAGGACTATAGGAAATGATATACATTGTGGTGTTAGACAGTTGAAGAATGGGCCTCAGTTTGAATAATAGGAAGACAGAAGTAACGGTGATATCAAAGAATAGAATTATTCATAAATGAGTAATAAAAGTCAATGGTGTTATTTTGGGACAAGTACAGAAATTTTAGTATCTGGGCACATGGATAACATCAGATGGAAGATGCATTACTGAGATAAGAAACAGAATAGGACAGCCAAATACTGCATTTTATAAAATGACGAACATTTTATGCAATACATCTTTGTCATTAAATGTTGGAAAAAGAATTCTTGCCTGCTACATACATCCAGTTTTAACATATGGCTGTGAATCCTGGACAATCAGTAGGAGGCCAAACAATTTCTTGAGGCTTCAGAGATGTAGTTTTACAGAAGAATGCTTAAAATACACTGGAGAGCCTAAAAGAGCAACCAAGAGGTTTTGAAAGTTGCGGAAGCAAGAAAACAACTAATCACAGACATCAGAAGGAGACAGTCAACATTTTTCGGCCATGTTATGAGAAGAGGGAAAATGTAACATGTTGTGACCACTGGAAAGATCTGTGGAAGGAGGGATAGAGGAAGACAGCGAGAGAGGATTCTTGACTGTCTTGTTGCATGGCATGCAGGTGTGTCAGCACATGAACTAATACATGCCGCAGGAAATCGCCAGTCGGGAAGGCACCTGGTGATAATGATAAGCAGATACTTCGTCTTCTTCTTTTTTTTTTACCGGCTTGTAGCTCCAGTGGAAAGTCCTGGGTGTTCGTCCATTTGGACTTTGGTTTTTGTGCCAGAACCTGAGTTTTTTCAGTGTACATCCGTTTAACTAGCAATTTTTGTGCAGTAAGTTGTTCACTGCCGCTCGGGCAGATGCACTCCGACTTCAAAGGAAGTCCTCATTTATTTAGTCGACTCCTACGACATGCTTTTTGGGGATGCAGTTGGTCTTTTCTTGTTCTGTTCACAGTGGGGCCTCGGAACCCACACGGGGAACTCTTAAACAGATATTGAAAACACCAAGATGGGAGGCAGGGATGTTTTATCCTATTTATACATTTCATAGAGAAGAGTTTTTTTTTTTAATTTGCATTTGAATCCACAGATCCTTCAGCTTATTTCTTCCGCGCCAATGAAATTGCATTGTTATTCCCGACCCAATGTTGAACGCAATCTCTCTCATCTCTCATCTCTGAGATTCCCGTCCCAATGATGAACGCAATCTCTCTCATCTCTCATCTCTGAGATTCCCGTCCCAATGATGAACGCAATCTCTCTCATCTCTCATCTCTGAGATTCCCGTCCCAATGATGAACGCAATCTCTCTCATCTCTCATCTCTGAGATTCCCGTCCCAATGATGAACGCAATCTCTCTCATCTCTCATCTCTGAGATTCCCGTCCCAATGATGAACGCAATCTCTCTCATCTCTCATCTCTGAGATTCCCGTCCCAATGATGAACGCAGTCTCTCTCATCTCTGAGATTCCCGTCCCAATGATGAACGCAATCTCTCTCATCTCTCATCTCTGATATTCCCGTCCCAATGATGAACGCAATCTCTCTCATCTCTCATCTCTGAGATTCCCGTCCCAATGATGAACGCAATCTCTCTCATCTCTCATCTCTGAGATTCCCGTCCCAATGATGAACGCAATCTCTCTCATCTCTGAGATTCCCGTCCCAATGATGAACGCAATCTCTCTCATCTCTCATCTCTGAGATTCCCGTCCCAATGATGAACGCAATCTCTCTCATCTCTCATCTCTGAGATTCCCGTCCAAATGATGCACGCAATCTCTCTCATCTCTGAGATTTCCGTCCCAATGATGAACGCAATCTCTCTCATCTCTCATCTCTGAGATTCCCGTCCCAATGTTGAACGCAATGTTTGTGTTATTTCGAGGCCCCAGTCCGATTTTCGCCGGAGCCTTAATATAAACTAACGGTTGAACGAGGTTTCTAGGACTTGTGGCCAGGTGATTCTCATTCGAATGGTTGGCTCTGTGTGTCAGCGTGTGTTTGTCTCTTGTTGTGCGGTCCTGGCGGGGTTAAATTTCATTCAGTTATTGCAATATTGCAAGGAGAATTTCTCAACCTGACAACGGGTCTCTCATCAATATTATGAAATACAAATGATAGTTCTTGTCTTGAGCTTCTGTTTGATCAGTTTATGGAGAAGTTTAATGCCGCCTGTGATGTTATGAACAAAGGAACGTCACAATTGAACACACGGTAGCTGCTGGTTATACATTTGGCCACCCAATTTTATGTATCAGGATGTGCTCCTTGATAAAGCACTCAGTAAAACTCGACTCTGGGTTCGGTCCTGACGGACCCGACCTAATTTGTTTCTATCCTACCAAAATGAGCTTGGCCTTCAGGTCGACCCAGCCTTGAGTGAGCATCAGGTACAAGTCCTTGGAAGTAAAGGTGACCGACGTAATGCTGACCACATCACCCACCAAGTGCCGATGGGTCTAAAAAAATAAAGAACCAGCTCTATATACTCAATACGCCTAAAGACGTGGAAAAGGGTCCTGTACTTTTAGTTTACTTACAACTCTACCCCAAAAGGGAAAGGGTTGTTTGGGGAGGTGGCGGAGGGTGGTCAATTTGCCTAAGCCTACAGGTTCCAGCGCCCTTGATTTTAACTCTCTCTCTCTCTCTCTCTCTCTCTCTCTCTCTCTCTCTCTCTCTCTCTCTCTCTCTCTCCGGTGACTGTCTCTGGTCCATAAATTATGCATGCAGTTTTGGCTTTCTGCCCTGCTAGCACTTATGTTCGACACAGATGACCTCGCTTCTCTGGTGTATTATTCATTTCTTTATGCCCCGACCGCAACTTCTCGTTCCCAAATTATACGCCAAAATCAATCAATTGTGGGCCTTGCCTTCCTCCACCGGATGCTTCCCCCACTTCCACAGTTCCGGAGTTGGTGGTTCAGACATCTGACTCGCGGGGAATCCCAATTCTTCGATTTTACATATCCAGGAGTTTGAATTTTTCAGTAGAAGCGAGTTCTTCCAGCAGTTGAGCAAATCTAGAACGAAGTAATTATTAGATATGTAAAGTGAACTGATAAGTGATATATTAAAGTAAATGCTATTACGTGAATTCTTACTAGCTTTCATCGTAGTTTACTAAAAGTAAAATAAAAAATTAAAAAATTAAAAAAAAAATTTATGTGTATATCGTGCGCTATCTTTTTCTGTTAAATATGTTCGTAAGTGCAGTAGCTCCAACCGGTGATAAGTCGAGAAAGGATTCCGACTTTGACATCAGAAAGACATCCGTGGATATAATGCCAGATTCCACGTGTGGCACTCGCCATTCGGAATTTGTCCAGACTATCAAGTATCCTGTTATCTTGATGAACTTAGGCGGTATCTATGTTCCGTCAATGTGTGTCTGCGAAAAAGACCCTTGTTTTCACAATCGTGCCAAGTCCAACTCTAGAGACCTAAGTGACTCCGACTCTAACAACGAAAACGTGGACTCGGTCGTGTACGTTCAGTGTATGAAGAGAAATTGCCTAGGGGAAGACGCATCTTTCAAAAGGTGTCCAGATGATGACAGTATCTTGTGGGCAATGATAAAGAAAGTGGCGTCTATTCTCATGATCATTTGCCATTTAACCAACTCTATCAGATATATTTTCGTGCTTCGAAACACCTCAGACAATGAAGACTCATTAGTGATTTCTTTAACAAACTACTTTATTTTAACTTCTTTCTTTTATTTGCTGATTTTGAATAGCCACGCATGTTTAAAACATTTCACTTCACTCCTATCTGCTGTGATGAGATACGAGAGGAAATATGGATTCAAATGTAGATTCAAGAAGTCATCGAAGCATTATTTGATCTTGTTTTGTCTGGTCATAGCATTTCAGTTCGCTCAAGGAACCGCTCTGATTTATGGGATTTTATCCTTTTCTGACAGCATGAGCCCACAGCTGTGGCCCCTGACCCACCTGGATGGAGTTCTGAGATTCTTTGGAGCTCTGATTGTTGGCATCGGTGTGTTTTTCGCAGGGTGCAATCTGTACGGAGCTCATTTCTTCCGCGCTATAGTAACTGCAATGTTGCAAGGAGAATTTCAGCGTCTGACAACGGATCTGTCATCAATATTATTAAATGCGAATGATAATTCTTGTCTTGAGCTTATGTTTGATCAGTTTATGGAGAAGTTTAATGCCGCCTGTGATGTTATGAACAAAGGATACAACACCATCAAACACACGGTAGCGGCGGGTTATATATTTGGCATCCCCATCTTGTGCATTGTTCTGTTCGCCCTGGTAAAACACTCAATACAACTGGACCACTACCTCGTCCTGTCGGTCAACACTGTGACGGCGGTGATCGTCATCATTCACACAACCTGGACGTTAGGCAGGCTCAGGTCTCAGGTACGTCTTCGTTTTCATCTGGAATCAATATTAGAAACAATTAGTTGTGGTATAAATCCCGTCAGGAATCAACATATAACGATTCGTTATGGTATACATCCCTCTGAAATTAGTATTATTAGGATCAATTATGATATAAAAAACATCTTGAAGCAATATTATAACCGATCAGTTATGATAATAAATAACATCTGGAAACCGTAAATTGTTAGTTGTAGTATAAATCAGATCTAAAAAAATGCTCCAAATGATCAGTTATGGTATATATCACAACTGGAAGCAATATTATAAACGATAAGTTATAGAATAAATCCCATATGGAAACAATTTTATAACTGATCAGTTATGGTATAAATCACAACTAGAATCAAAAAGTGATCAGTTATGATATAAATCACATTTGGAAACAATATTAAAACCGATCAATTATGGTACAGATCACGTCTCAAAACAATAAATCATCAGTTATGTAAAAAGCATATATGGAAACAATATTATAAATAATCAGTTATGGTATAAATCACATCTAGAGATATTGAATGATCAGTTATGGTATAAATCACATTGTAAAGCAATATCATAATTGATCAGCTATGGTATAAATCCCATCTGAAAGCAATATTATTAATGATCAGTTGTGGTATAAATCACGCCTGGAATCAATATTACAAAATTATTAATTATGATATACATCACACCTTGAATCAATGTTATGTTATATATGAATAATATAAAAAAAATTAACACCTCGAATTAATTTAATAAATGGTGAGTGTTGATATAAATCACATCTGGAATCAATATTATAAATTATCAGTGTTGATATAATTCACATCTGGAATCAATTGTATAAAGGATCAGTTATTATAATAAATTGCCCTCAACCTCACCATCCTAGATCGAGTGAATTTCGATCGTATCAGACAAATTTAGGAACGACACCGTGTACTAGATTCATCTAGGAACAGCAGATCAAGTGGTTTGGCCATCACTTTAGAATGCTGCAAGATCAAATACCATCACAGGCACTGCTTCTCAGAAGATCAGCTACAACATCAAAAGGACAACCTCGAAAAATATTGATCGACAACATTAAAGAGACCATACGCCTTCATGGCATGACAATAGCTAGTGGCAGACAGCGTGCGCTGGATTGCACATTATCTCTCCCCACGTCGCTTAACGCCAGAAGTGGTTTATGATCAAGATAGTGAGATAAGGATGATGATATAAATAACATCTGGAATTGATATTATAAATGGTCAAAGGTAAAATAAATAACATCTGGAATTAATAACATAAGTGATCAGTAATTACATAAATCGCATCTGGAATCAATATTAGAAATGGTCTAGTGATAATATAAATCACACTTTGAATTAATATTTCACACGATCAGTGCCGATATAATTCACATGTGGAATTAATATGATTAATGATCAGTGGATAAATTTCAAAATTGCTTGACGTCCCCCCCCCCCCCGACCCACCCCCACGGAACTTCTTTGCCCCCCCCCCCCCCCCCAATCCCACTTTCTGTTTTTTACAAGGGGCCAGCTTCCAGTTTGAAAACTATGTTATAAACACAGTTATGTTAGAAAAATGATGGAGTCAACATCGCACTGGCCACTTTCACTTCGCCTCGATGGGCAATGAAGTCAACATCCGACCGGCAGTCTTTACTTCCCAGGAAATTACTTCTACCCATTTTAGGTTGGGTCAGTTTGGTAGCCATGGTCTTTTTTTCTTCTTCAAAATCTACGGAAAACATATTCTAATCCAAGACATATGGGCAGATACATGAACATCTAGACCAGCGGCTCTGAACCTTCCTAATGCGGCGACCATTTATTACAGTTCCCTCATGTTGTGGTGACCGCCAAACAATTATTTCCTTCATAGCTTCAATGTTTAAAGATGGTTTTAGGCTACCACTGTGAAAGAATCGTTTGACCTAAAAAAGATGGTCGCGACCAGCAAGTTGAGAACCGCTGGTTTAGCCATTAGGTCTCCCATTAATAATCGATCATGATATTAAACATTTATAACTTAAATGACACAATTCGGCTCATGATTTACACCTACTTTTTGTTGTTGTTGTTGTTGTTGTTGTTGTTGTTGTTGTTGTTGGTTAGTTCCTGTCGTGTAGCGTTAGTGGTCAGTTCTCTTCGTGAGTCAATTTATTTCAAGACTGCTTTTTTTTTTTTTTTTTCAAATCATCTCAGGGCATTCTCGACTTTCATCGGTAAAACCACATCTCAGTGGCTTTCAAATAATTGTTCAATAATTTACCCTTCAGGTAGACTCTTATGGCAGCCTTGCCAGAATCTTGTATCAATAGTAATATTCATCTTTATTTTTTTTAAATCCACTCTAATACAATTCAACGTACCATTAAAACCTTATTCAAGCTCAAATCTAAGATATATCTTAATCTGAAATAATGACATAAATTATTGATTAAACTACCAATTATATAATACGTATTTCAAAAGCGGCCTTACTTCCTGTAGCGGCGGCGCGAGATAAGGAAAATATGGGAGTCTGGTGTGTGTGGGTGTGAGTGTGTGTGCACGTGTGTGTGAGTGTGTGTTTGTGAGTGTGTGTGTGAGTGTGTGTTTGTGTGGGAGTGAGTGTGTGTGTGAATGTGTGTGTGAGGGTGTGTATGTGTGGGTGTGAGAGTGTGTGAGTTTGTGTGGGAGTGGGTTTGTGTGCGTGTGAGTGTGTGCGTGTGAGTGTGTGCGTGTGAGTGTGTGCGCGTGTGTCAGTGATAGTGTGTATATGTGCATGTAAGTGTGTGTGTGTGTGCTTGTGTGCGTGTGTGAGTGTGTGTGCGTGTGCACAAAAAAGGAACTACTCACCCCATCTTACAATTTGTAGGGTAATTAGGGTGAAAAAGGGGGCACACGGGGCTCTAGGTGCTTGATCCTAGTTTTTTAGCATAATAATAATAATAATAATAATAATAATAATAATAATAATAATAATAATAATAATAATAATAATAATAATAATAATAATAATACAATAATAAGAATAATAATTAATTTTAAAAAAATGATTATACAGTTCATATACTTGTAAAAACAATATATGGTAATGGGTGCCACTTATCACCCTTAACAATTGTTTAGGGGAGGGGCGCTATAGGAGCATGAGCTCCCAGCTAAGTCGCCTACGTACCTTAGTAACTAGACGTTATCTGCAGGGTTGAAAGTCTTGGGTTTAAATCCCCATCCAGTAGGTTTCATTATCAATGACTTTCGGGTCGATCTAGGTTGAATAGATGCCTGTAATTTTTATAGGAAGTAAAAGTCGCCGGTGTGATGTTGATCCCATAATTTATCGAAGGCAGATAAGCTATAACAAATATAAGTCTAGCACTATATACATGGCTTTTTTTTTTCTGAAAAAGGTGCCGGTACCAACCATCGACTGTCCAATAAAAAGTGTTTGTGCGCACCACAAATTATTTATTAATAGTGTTGAATCCATGTGTGGGTTCCGGGGCCTTATTGAGGAGAAAACAAGAATAGACCCATTGTCTTCCCAACAAGCATGCCGTAAGAGTCGACTAACTGGGGTGGGAGGGGTGGGGGGGGGGGGTTCCCTTGTGCATCTGCCTGACAGACGAGAAATCAACAGTCTGCATACAAATAAGCCGGATCTGCAAAAGGGATGTGCACACACATATTTTGGAAGAAGACGAAAGTGCAGAGGTGGACGAATAATCAAAAACTTTCGCTGGGGTTTACAGGCGGTGGACGCAAAGAAAAAGGAAGAAAAAGTAGTAGTTCTGAAAAGAAAATGGTGCCATTAAAATGTGTCAGTGCTGCGTACCACTGCGTACCACTGCACACCGACAGAAAAAAAGTACTGACTACATGCTAAAGAAAGGATCGACTTCATTACATCGAGTTGTATCCTATATGGCCCAGTCTCTCTCCGCAGGACGGCTAGCTGCCTGCCGAGATTGCCGCGCAGAGCACCAACTCCGTAGCTCCAGCGATGATCCCTAGGGATTTTCTTTAAAGTTGCAGTCGTGAACTGAAGGGCGTTTGTATGTATGTATGTATGTATGTATGTATGTATGTATGTATGTATGTATGTATGTATGTATGTATGTATGTATGTATGTATGTATGTATGTATGTATGTATGTATGTATGTATGTATGTATGTATGTATGTATGTATGTATGTATGTATGTATGTATGTATGTATGTATGTATGTATGAATGTATGTATGTATGTATGTCTGTCTGTCTGTCTGTCTGTCTGTCTGTCTGTCTGTCTGTCTGTCTGTCTGTCTGTCTGTCTGTCTGTCTGTCTGTCTGTCTGTCTGTCTGTCTGTCTGTCTGTCTGTCTGTCTGTCTGTCTGTCTGTCTGTCTGGTCTGTCTGGTCTGTCTGGTCTGTCTGTCTGCCTGCCTGCCTGCCTGCCTGCCTGCGTGCGTGCGTGCGTTCGCGCGTGTGTGTGTGTGTGTGTGTGTGTGCATGTATGTATTTATGCATTTATGTATGTATGAATATTTGTGTGTGTGTGTGAGTACGTATGTATGAGTGTGTATGTATTTAAATGTGTACACATTTGTATGTGTATCTATTGTGACGTACTTAATAAGCAACTGTCAGTTTAAGCTTTCTTTTTTTTTCCTCTCCCTGGAAGATCAAGTCTGTCTGCTGCACGGTCTACGTGGCCGACTGGTCATCGTTCTCGCCGCAAGTACTTCAAAAGGTAACTAACTAACAAAATGTAAGATGGGACTAATCCTTACCCATACACTCAATATATGGCAGTAAAATATATTTACGGTTGTCTCGACTTACGACTTAGTTCCGTTCCGACTAACAGGTCTTAAGTCGAATTCATATTTGTCCACATGTTTTCCATTTAAACAAGTTAAACACTTTGGGATATACATATGAAATCTTCTAATTACTGGATATACACATGACATCATCCAGCTATGGGATTTTCACAAGACATCTTGCAACTATGGTATGTACATATGACATCATAAAACTATGGGATATACACTTGACATCATCTAACTATAGGATATGCACATGAAATCGTGCAATTATGGAATATACACATTACATCACCCATCTATGGGATATACACAAGGCATCCTCCACTATTTGATGTACACGTGAATAATCCAACTGTGTGATATATACATGACATCATTCATCTATGGGATTTACACATGACATCATTCAAATGTGTGATATACAGATGATATCCTGCAACTAAGGTGTATACACAAGGACATCCTCCAACTATGAGAAGTACACATGCCATCTTCCAACTATGGGATGTACACATGGCATCCTAAATCTATAGGTTATACACATGACATCCTGAAAGTATGGGATATACACACGACGTCCTCCAACTATGTGATGTACTCATGACATCATTCAACTATAGGATCTACACACGTTATAATGCTACTATAGATATAAACATGACACCAGACAACTATGTGTTATACACATGATATCCTACAATTATAGGATATATACATGGCATCCTTTAACTTTAAGATATACACATGACATCCTCCAACTAGGGCTTATACACATGACATCCTCCAACTATGGAGTGTACACATAACGTCATCCAACTATGGGATATATACATGCCATCATCCAACTATGGGATATACACAAGCCATCCTCCAACTATTGGATATACACATGATACCCCCAAATATGGGACATACACATAGGTCAAAACTTTATTTATCAAAGGAACATACGCACGGGTCATAACAACATGCGCCATGACAGTATTCATCCAAAAATAATTGATATAGTTCATGATATGACCCATCCAGGGGTAATAGAAATTGTTCATGATATGATTCATCCAAGGTTAATAGAAATTGTTCATGATATGATTCATCCAGGGTAAATAGAAATGGTTCATGATATAATTCATACAGGGGTAATAGAAATGGTTCTTTATATGATTCATCCAAGGGTAATAGAAATGGTTGATAATATGATTAATCCGGGGGTAATAGAAATGGTACATGATATGATTTTTCTAGGGGTAATATAAATGGTTCATGATATGATTTATCCAGGTGTAATAGAAATAATTCATGATATGATTCATCCAGGGGTAATAGAAGTGGTTCATGATATGATTCATCAAAGGGTAATAGAAATGGTTTATGATATGATTCATCCAGGGGTTATAGAAATGGTTCATTATATGATTTATCCAGGGGTACAAGAAATGGTTCATGATATGATTCATCCAGGGGTAATAGAAATGGTTCATGATATGATTCATCCAGGGGTTAAAGAAATGGTTCATGATATGATTCATCCAGGGGTGAAAGAAATGGTTCATGATATGATCAATCCAGGGGTAATAAAAATGGTTTATGATATGATCCATCCAGGGGTAATAGAAATGGTTCATGATATGATCCATCCAGGCGTAATAGAAATGGTTCATGATATGATTCATCTAGGGGTAATAGAAATGGTTTATGATATGATTCATCTAGGGGTAATAGAAATGGTTTATAATATGATTCGTCCAGGTGTAATAGAAATGGTTCATTATATGATTCATCAAAGGGTAAAAGAAATGCGACATTATATGATTCATCCAGGGGTAATAGAAATGGTTCATGATATGATTCATCCAGGGGTTAAAGAAATGGTTCATGATATGATTCATCCAGGAGTGAAAGAAATGGTTCATGATATGATCAATCCAGGGGTATTAGAAATGGTTCATGATATGATTCATCCAGGTGTAATAAAAATGGTTCATGATATGATTCATCCAGGGGTTTTAACAATGGTTTATGATATGATTTATCCAGGCGTAATAGAAATGGTTCATGATATGATTTATCCCGGGGTAATAGAAATGGTTCATGATATGATCTACCCAGGAGTAATAGAAATGGTTTATGATATGATTCATCCAGGGGTAATAGAAATGGTTCATGATATGATTTATTCAGGGGTAATATAAATGGTTTATGATATGATTTATCCAGGGGTAATAAAAATGGTTCATGATATGATTCATCCAGGAGTAACAGAAATGGTTCATGATGTAATTCATCCAGGACTAACAGAAATGGTTTATGATATGATTCATCCAGGGGTAATAGAAATGGTTCATGATATGATCCATCCAGGGGTAATAGAAATGCGACATTATATGATTCATTCGGGAGTAATAGAAATGGTTCATGATATGATTTATCCAGGGGTAATAGAAATGGTTCATGATATGATCTACCCAGGAGAAATAGAAATGGTTCATGATATGATCCATCCAGGCGTAATAGAAATGGTTCATGATATGATTCATCTAGGGGTAATAGAAATGGTTTATGATATGATTCATCTAGGGGTAATAGAAATGGTTTATAATATGATTCGTCCAGGTGTAATAGAAATGGTTCATGATATGATTCATCAAAGGGTAAAAGAAATGCGACATTATATGATTCATCCAGGGGTAATAGAAATGGTTCATGATATGATTCATCCAGCGGTTTAAGAAATGGTTCATGATATGATTCATCCAGGGGTGAAAGAAACGGTTCATGATATGATCAATCCAGGGGTAATAAAAATGGTTTATGATATGATCCATCCAAGGGTAATAGAAATGGTTCATGATATGATCCATCCAGGCGTAATAGAAATGGTTCATGATATGATTCATCTAGGGGTAATAGAAATGTTTTATGATATGATTCATCTAGGGGTAATAGAAATGGTTTATAATATGATTTGTCCAGGTGTAATAGAAACGGTTCATGATATGATTCATCAAAGGGTAAAAGAAATGCGACATTATATGATTCATCCAGGTGTAATAGAAATGGTTCATGATATGATTCATCCAGGGGTTATAAAAATGGTTTATGATATGATTTATCCAGGCGTAATAGAAATGGTTCATGATATGATTTATCCAGGGGTAATAGAAATGGTTCATGATATGATCTACCCAGGAGTAATAGAAATGGTTCATGAAATGATTCATCCAGGGGTAATAGAAATGGTTCATGATATGATTTATCCAGGGGTTATATAAATGGTTTATGATATGATTTATCAAGGGGTAATAAAAATGGTTCATGATATGATTCATCCAGTAGTAACAGAAATGGTTCATGATTTGATTAATCCAGGACTAACAGAATTGGTTCATGATATGATTCATCCAGGGGTAATAGAAATGGTTCATGATATGATCCATCCAGGGGTAATAGAAATGCGACATTAAATGATTCATTCAGGAGTAATAGAAATGGTTCATGATATGATTTATCCAGGGGTAATAGAAATGGTTCATGATATGATCTACCCAGGAGAAATAGAAATGGTTCATGATATGATTCATTCAGGGGTAATAGAAATGGTTCATGATATGATTTATCAAAGGTAAAAGAAATGCGACATTATATGATTCATCCAGGGGTTATAGAAATGGTTCATGATATGATCCATCCAGGGGTAATAGAAATGGTTCATGATATGATTCATCCAGGGGTAATAGAAATGGCTCATGATATGATCTATCCAGGTAAAATAGAAATGGTTTATGATATGATTCATCCAGGGGTAATATAAATGGCTCATTATATGATTCATCCAGGGGTAATTGAAACGGTTCATGATATGATTCATCCAGGGGTAAAAGAAATGGTTCATGATATGATTCATCCAGGGGTAAAAGAAATGGTTTATGATTTGATTTATTAGGGGTTTTAGAAATGGTTCATGATATGATTTATTAGGGGTATTAGAAATGGTTTATGATATGATTTATTAGGGGTATTAGAAATGGTTCATGATATGATTCATCCAGGAGTAATAGACATGGTTCATGATATGATTTATCCAGGCGTAATAGAAATGGTTTATGATATGATTTATCCAGGGGTAATAGAAATGGTTCATGATATGATCTACCCAGGAGTAATAGAAATGGTTTATGATATGATTCATCCAGGGGTAATAGAAATGGTTCATGATATGATTCATCCAGGAGTAACAGAAATGGTTCATGATGTGATTCATCCAGGACTAACATAAATGGTTTATGATATGATTTATCCAGGGGTAATAGAAATGCGACATTATATGATTCATTCAGGAGTAATAGAAATGGTTCATGATATGATTTATCCAGGGGTAATAGAAATGGTTCATGATATGATCTACTCAGGAGAAATAGAAATGGTTCATGATATGATTCATTCAGGGGTAATAGAAATGGTTTATGATATGATTTATCAAAGGTAAAAGAAATGCGACATAATATGATCAATCCAGGGGTAATAAAAATGGTTTATGATATGATTCATCCAGGGGTAATAGAAATGGCTCATGATATGATCTATCCAGATAAAATAGAAATGGTTTATGATATGATTCATCCAGGGGTAATAGAAATGGTTCATTATATGATTCATCCAGGGGTAATTGAAACGGTTCATGGTATGATTCATCCAGGGGTAAAAGAAATGGTTCATGATATGATTCATCCAGGGGTAAAATAAATGGTTCATGATATGATTTATTAGGGGTATTAGAAATTGTTCATGATATGATTTATTAGGGGTATTAGAAATGGTTCATGATATGATTTATTAGGGGTATTAGAAATGGTTCATGATATGATTTATTAGGGGTATTAGAAATGGTTCATGATATGATTCATCCAGGAGTAATAGACATGGTTCATGATATGATTTATCCAGGCGTAATAGAAATGGTTTATGATATGATTTATCCAGGGGTAATAGAAATGGTTCATGATATGATCTACCCAGGAGTAATAGAAATGGTTTATGATATGATTCATCCAGGGGTAATAGACATGGTTCATGATATGATTTATCCAGGCGTAATAGAAATGGTTTATAATATGATTTGTCCAGGTGTAATAGAAATGGTTCATGATATGATTCACCAAAGGGTAAAAGAAATGCGACATTATATGATTCATCCAGGTGTAATAGAAATGGTTCATGATATGATTCATCCAGGGGTTATAAAAATGGTTTATGATATGATTTATCCAGGCGTAATAGAAATGGATCATGATATGATTTATCCAGGGGTAATAGAAATGGTTCATGATATGATCTACCCAGGAGTAATAGAAATGGTTCATGATATGATTCATCAAGGGGTAATAGAAATGGTTCATGATATGATTTATCCAGGGGTTATATAAATGGTTTATGATATGATTTATCAAGGGGTAATAAAAATGGTTCATGATATGATTCATCCAGGAGTAACAGAAATGGTTCATGATGTGATTCATCCAGGACTAACAAAATTGGTTCATGATATGATTCATCCAGGGGTAATAGAAATGGTTCATGATATGATCCATCCAGGGGTAATAGAAATGCGACATTAAATGATTCATTCAGGAGTAATAGAAATGGTTCATGATATGATTTATCCAGGGGTAATAGAAATGGTTCATGATATGATCTACCCAGGAGAAATAGAAATGGTTCATGATATGATTCATTCAGGGGTAATAGAAATGGTTCATGATATGATTTATCAAAGGTAAAAGAAATGCGACATTATATGATTCATCCAGGGGTTATAGAAATGGTTCATGATATGATCCATCCAGGGGTAATAGAAATGGTTCATGATATGATTCATCCAGGGGTAATAGAAATGGCTCATGATAGGATCTATCCAGGTAAAATAGAAATGGTTTATGATATGATTCATCCTGGGGTAATATAAGTGGCTCATTATATGATTCATCCAGGGGTAATTGAAACGGTTCATGATATGATTCATCCAGGGGTAAAAGAAATGGTTCATGATATGATTCATCCAGGGGTAAAAGAAATGGTTTATGATTTGATTTATTAGGGGTATTAGAAATGGTTCATGATATGATTTATTAGGGGTATTAGAAATGGTTCATGATATGATTTATTAGGGGTATTAGAAATGGTTCATGATATGATTCATCCAGGAGTAATAGACATGGTTCATGATATGATTTATCCAGGCGTAATAGAAATGGTTTATGATATGATTTATCCAGGGGTAATAGAAATGGTTTATGATATGATATACCCAGGAGTAATAGAAATGGTTTATGATATGATTCATCCAGGGGTAATAGAAATGGTTCATGATATGAATTATCCAGGAGTAACAGAAATGGTTCATGATGTGACTCATCCAGGACTAACATAAATGGTTTATGATATGATTTATCCAGGGGTAATAGAAATGCGACATTATATGATTCATTCAGGAGTAATAGAAATGGTTCATGATATGATTTATCCAGGGGTAATAGAAATGGTTCATGATATGATCTACCCAGGTGAAATAGAAATGGTTCATGATATGATTCATTCAGGGGTAATAGAAATGGTTTATGATATGATTTATCAAAGGTAAAAGAAATGCGACATAATATGATCAATCCAGGGGTAATAAAAATGGTTCATGATATGATTCATCCAGGGGTAATAGAAATGGCTCATGATATGATCTATCCAGGTAAAATAGAAATGGTTTATGATATGATTCATCCAGGGGTAATAGAAATGGTTCATTATATGATTCATCCAGGGGTAATTGAAACGGTTCATGATATGATTCATCCAGGGGTAAAAGAAATGGTTCATGATATGATTCATCCAGGGGTAAAATAAATGGTTCATGATATGATTTATTAGGGGTATTAGAAATTGTTCATGATATGATTTATTAGGGGTATTAGAAATGGTTCATGATATGATTTATTAGGGGTATTAGAAATGGTTCATGATATGATTTATTAGGGGTATTAGAAATGGTTCATGATATGATTCATCCAGGAGTAATAGACATGGTTCATGATATGATTTCTCCAGGCGTAATAGAAATGGTTTATGATATGATTTATCCAGGGGTAATAGAAATGGTTCATGATATGATCTACCCAGGAGTAATAGAAATAGTTTATGATATGATTCATCCAGGGTTAATAGAAATGGTTCATGATATGATTTATCCAGGGGTAATATAAATGGTTTATGATATGATTTATCCAGGGATAATAAAAATGGTTCATGATATGATTCATCCAGGAGTAACAGAAATGGTTCATGATGTGATTCATCCAGGACTAACATAAATGGTTTATGATATGATTTATCCAGGGGTAATAGAAATGGTTCATGATATGATCCATCCAGGGGTAATAGAAATGCGACATTATATGATTCATTCAGGAGTAATAGAAATGGTTTATGATATGATTTATCCAGGGGTAATAGAAATGGTTCATGATATGATCTACCCAGGAGAAATAGAAATGGTTCATGATATGATTCATTCAGGGGTAATAGAAGTGGTTTATGATATGATTTATCAAAGGTAAAAGAAATGCGACATGATATGATCAATCCAGGGGTAATAAAAATGGTTCATGATATGATTCATATAGGGGTAATAGAAATGGCTCATGATATGATCTATCCAGGTAAAATAGAAATGGTTTATGATATGATTCATCCAGGGGTAATAGAAATGGTTCATCATATGATTCATCCAGGGGTAATTGAAACGGTTCATGATATGATTCATCCAGGGGTAAAAGAAATGGTTCATGATATGATTCATCCAGGGGTAAAATAAATGGTTCATGATATGATTTATTAGGGGTATTAGAAATTGTTCATGATATGATTTATTAGGGGTATTAGAAATGGTTCATGATATGATTTATTAGGGGTATAAGAAATGGTTCATGATATGATTCATCCAGGAGTAATAGACATGGTTCATGATATGATTCATCCAGGGGTATTAGAAATGGTTCATTGTATGATTCATCCAGGGGTAATAGAAATAGTTCATGATATGATTCATCCAGAAGTAATAGACATGGTTAGTGATATGATTCATTAAGGGGTAATAGAAACGGTTCATGATATGATTCATCTAGGAATAATAGACATGGTTCATGATATGATTTATCCAGGGTTAATATAAATGGTTCATGATATGATTCATCCAAAGATAATAGTCCTAGTTCATGATATGATTCATTCAGGGGTAATAGAAATGCTTCATGATATGATTCATACAGGGGTAATAGAAATGGTTTATGATATGATTTATCCAGGGGTAAACGAAATTTTTCATGATATGATTCATCCAGGGGTAATAGAAATGGTTCATGATATGATTCATCCAGGGGTTAAAGAAATGGTTCATGATATGATTCATCCAGGGGTAAAAGAAAAGGTTCATGATATGATTTATCCAGGGGAAATAGAAATGGTTTATGATATAATTCTTCCAGGGGCAAAAGAAATGGTTTATGATATGATTCATCCAGGGGTAATAAAAATGGTTCATGATATGATTTATCCAGGGGTAATATAAATGGTTCATGATATGATTTATCCAGGGGTAATAGAAATAGTTCATGATATGATTTATCCATGGGTAATATAAGTGGTTCATGATATGATTCATCAAAGGGTAAAAGAAATGCGTCATTATGTGATTCATTCAGGCTTAAAATAATTTGTTCATGATATGATTCATCCAGGGGTAATAGAAATGGTTCATGATATGATTTATCCAGGAGTGGTAGACATCGTTCATGATATGTTTCATCGAGGGGTAATAGAAATGGTTCATGATATGATTCATCCAGGAGTAATAGAAATGGTTTATGATATGATTCATCCAGGGGTAATAAAAATGGTTTATGATATGATCCAACCAGGGGTAATAGAAATGGTTCATGATATGATCCAACTAGGGGTAATAGAAATGCGACATTATATGATTTATCCAGGGGTAATAGAAATATTTCGTGATATAATCCATCCAAGGGTAATGGAAATGGTTCATGATATAATTCATCCAGGGTTAATAGAAATGGTTCATGATATCATTATTCCAAAGATAATAGTCGCAGTTCATGATATGATCCATCTAAGGGTAATCTACATGGATCATGACATGATCCATCTTTAAATAATAGACATCGATCATGTCAAAGAGAAGAAGATTCCACATAAGTGTAATATTGTTTCCTGTCTGATGCATTTGTTCTTTATTGTTAAATCCTTTTATATGTCTAATGTATTCAACAGCCAGGCATATGTACACACACATACACACATACACACACACACACACACACACATATATATGATATTGCTATAATTATATTTTCCCTACAAGGTGTTGCTCTTCACAAACATGTATTGCACCAACCATTTCGGCATGACAGTGTACGGAATATTCGTTGTTGATTGGTCCACAATTCTAGCGGTAAGATTACATGTAGTTAATTTAATATTCTTATTGTATCAATAGAAACCAAAAGAGCACTCAGTGATACAATCTTCTTGCTAAACCTGTGTTATCAATGCCACACATGGATAATGACAGAAAAAGAGAAAAAAAAAAAAAAAAACATTACAAGAGAAAAGGATACCTACGATTCCTCAATACAAAATTAGGAGATAAAATCAGAAACGAAGAAATACAAAGGACAATTATTGTAGCTGCAGCTCTGGATTTCCTTCGAAAGACAACAGGTGAAACGGTTTGGCCATATAACGCGGATGTCAGGAGACAGTATACCACAGCCAGCCATGATGTACAGACAAATTATGGATAGCGGAAAATATATAGAGTCCCTGAGAATCCCAGTTTACGAAACTGATTTTTTTCCGTTAATTATAGTTCGCTTCGTCACCCTAAGGTACAAGAGAATCAAGATAAAATAAGTTAAACTATCCTTGTAAATATGCGAGCAAGCATTTATCTTAACATGTAAATATGTATCAGTGAAGATCACAATATTTATGTGAACCCACAGAAAAAAAATAATAATGGCAACAAGTAAGTAACTAAGATATCCGGCTATTTATCTCTTTCGCTTACACTTGCTTTTTTTCTTCTTTAATTTTTTCCTGTCAGTTTCGAATATAGCATAACTTACAACACTAGCAAACATATTAAAGTAACAATTAACAGAGGAATGACACAGATATTGAAAATGAATCAAGCAAGCTAGAACAGTCTACATTGATGAAACCTCACTTCAAGAAATGGGATCAAATAAGTGAGGAATCAAAGCAAAGAAAGACACACACACACACCCACACACACACACAAACACACACACACAAACACTTATACACAGACGAGCGCACATGCACCAAAAGTAAGATTACTTTTCATATCATTAGAACATTTATGAAAGGAAATAAATCTATATCTAAAGGAAATCTAAATATCCCCATTAAATGAAGAGCGGCTTGCCAAACGGCAAATAAAGCATGGGTTTAACGCCAGAGATCCGGGCTCAAATCTTTGGTAAAGTTAAGGTTTTTTTTTCTGGCGAGGAGCTCATAAAATTCTAATCTGAAAATTCCGTGACGGCAGCATGGACTATTTCCTATCTCAGTGCCTGCCTGATGATGCTTCGTTCGTCTCTTATCAGAATGTGCCCAGTAAAAGGCCACCTTTCCTGTCCTATAACTGTTGATACTAACACAGACATTTCTCTTATTTCTTCAAGCTCTTGAGTCTGGCATACATGCACCCTGTGCACCGCACAACACTTAACTCATTTTCTCACCGGAATGGCATCCTTTCTTGCAAATAACATCCAACCCTCCCTATGTCACGTGGGATGCAATTTTTCCTAATTTCAACACATAAGTTGGTTTTTGCCGGAGGCCCTAAATATAGCCGGGCCTTAAGTATAGCTTGACGGCTGAACGGGGTTTCCGGGCCCTATCCACGGGTGATCCTCATCCGCAAGGTGGCACTTTGTGTCACCAGGTGTTTATCGCCTGTGTGATGTCGTGGTAGGGTATAACTTACCTACCTACCTAAGTCTCCTCATTTTCCATCCGGTCTAGGACATGCAGTGGTGAAGATCCTTTTCTTGCTTACTTATAACACAATAGTGATGATGATGATGATGATGATGACGATTATCATGACGAATATTTTCTTCTTCTACAGGTAGGCGGGATGTTGCTGGCATACAGTGTTTTACTAATACACCTAGAATTAGGATTATCGTCGCACCTATGCCATAAAAACAACGCTACACTATGA